GCCGTGTTGGTTTTGGGAGCACTTTGTTCAGAACGGTAAAAAGCGATCGTTTCCTTGACATGTTTGCAGCGAAATGTGCGCCTGGCCGTTTTTTTACGACCGATCCGAAAACCGTCGTAAGCTGTGGTTTTGTCGACGACGAATGCTGGGCGGTCGTAAATCTCTGCCCGGCCGGATTAATTTCGTCCAACAACACGGATTCAGCTATGAACAACATGAAGCATGTTTGCGCAATCCAGGCATGTGCACAAAAACCGTACTTCGGTCACCGGGTGACCTTGAGTTTTCCCATCGTCCGGTTCGGGTTTCAAACTCGTCGTCGTCGTCGTCGTCGTCGTCATTCCGTTTGCCAGTTTCTTCGGCATGCCGCTGGCGGAACCGACCTTGAATTCCGTACCAACCACGAACCCGCGGAAGGTGGCGGATGGCACTAAGGTTGTCTGCAGGTGCCTCTGCGGCCAGCGACGCCCACGACCACGTGCCGCTGAGGCACTCGGTCGTACCTCGCGACGACCGTCGGCGGTGGCGACGCGACACAATGCGAAACCTCGTTGTTCATTAAGCACTTACCGTAACGCGCTTGGCTGCAGCGTCGAGCGAGCAATCGGCATTTTACGCATTATGCTATGAAGCACGTGGCTTCCCTCAGCCAAATGTTTTTTTGCGTTTTCGTTTCCTCACCATTTCGCTGGTGTTTGTTAATCTTCTTTCAATTGTTCACTCTGCAGACGGATTCGAACTCTACGAAGCCATCTGTGGAGACCGCAAGAGACATCGTCTCAAATTTCATACTACCCTCTATCGCAACAGCAGACCCATGACGTAACCTCATGTTGCAGTGGACGTCAAACGCTTCGCTGCTTTAAGCCATATAACCACCCACTGAACACTGGTCTTGTGCATGCGGTGAAAAGTAAAATAACGTACTTTAAATTCCAAGGAAGAATGAGTCCAACACGATCTGAATAATTCTATCAATCTTTGCTAATTGAAACAAAACAGCACTAAAAAATTTATTGTAGACCAAAGGAAATGAATCTGGTGAATAAATAACGAAACAGCAATTACAAATGCGAAAACAACACTACGACACAGTGAGAAAAGTCACACAGATCTGCTCTGTTGTCTTTGAATCTAATGACATATGATGGGCCCACATTCACCATCTATATCTGTACTCAATATATCATTCTTCTGTGATATTCTTCTACTCTACATGTCATTTCCTTTCAGCTTAATATTTATATGTTGCTTTCGTATATTTCACCTATCAATCTCATGGTTATCATCATCACCCTTTTACTACTAACTGCTGAACGATGGCTACTCCAATACTTTGCCAATCATGCCACAGACTTTTGCAATTCATATTAACCTTGAGCCAACAAAATTTTTCGGCTCCTCCTCCTGTCATTGAGGTTTTTGTCCATGCTGCTGGTTAAACAATGTTTTGACAACAGGCGCGACAGGGTTTATCCGTTCAAGGTTCATATCCTGTGTCTTGACTGACACTACCGCAGGACTGGGTGGTCAATGCTCCTTGATACGCCTCTGTAGTCAGTGTGTTTCTTTGATGATGCCGATGCAATCTGACAATTAGAGTGCGTGACCGTTGTCTGCTGAGTGTTGTTGCGCAATCCCTGAGTTCTTTTCGCACTGTTCTTTGATCTTGTTATGAGTTAGGCTTTGCTTTATTCCTGAACGCCTTGCTTCCACATGTTGCTCTCGACCGTCCACAATAATCCATCAACTTGATCTGTGGTGGTGGATCT